TTGTTGATCCTCAATGCGATCCATGAATTCAAGAAAATTGAACCCAAAAATAAAAAAGTAAGAAAAAAAAAAAGAAGAGAAAAACTACTATGATTTGTGAATGAAAAAACACGCATGGGGGTGGAGTTTGTTCTTAAAGTAGAAGTTGTTGTAGGGTTGTATGGTGAAAACAAGATTACTCCTATTTTTTAGTTAAGAGTGATGGTTTGTGGATGAGAGAGAAAGAGGAGTGAGAGAGTACGGTGAGTTGGTGACAAGTGGGAGGAGGGCATGATATATAGTGAGAACTAGACATTTTCCACAGCCATTTAGTGGTGGCGCCGCCGTGGAGGCAAGTATATACAATCTTTACGTACATATTTTTCTTGAAATTATTGACTGAGGAGTGTTTCTCTCTCATTCATTCGTCCACTAAGAGTAAAAGAGACAGTGGTTCTAACTGCCAAAACTATTCACTTTCCTTCAATTCCAAGCCAAGAAAACTAATCCTTGTTTCTCCTTGTCTGTCGGTTGGTTTAAGCTGCTTTTCCACACAATTATTTACTCTAATATATAGTAGGATCTTTATTACCAATTAATTATCTTTTAATTATTGAACCTTAATTGTGATTCTTCTTTTAATTCAAACTTGTTGTTTGATTTTAGGTCTCTTGATGTTGTCATATAGGAAAATTTAATTACACACCAAGAAAAGGTTGTGTTCTAACAAATCAAAATAGACTTGCATGATAATATTAAATTATAGAAAGAAAAAAAAAGTGAAATTTCTTCATAAATTACTGATCTTTCGTTTGCGAATGTGTTCGCCGACAAAATATATCATCCGATAATTAAATAATTATCAAAACGAAAATGAATTACACAAAAACTGTCTAAGATTTTTGCTTGTACATGTTTGTTACAGATTAAAATCAGATTTTAATTTAAATCAAAGTCAAACAATCAATATTAACCACATGTTTCGCGGGTCTCACAATTTTTCAATCACATATTTTAAAAATTTCTATCACAATATACTAAAAATCTAATTTTAATCATCACCAAACACCCTCTAAGAAAGTCACAATAGTAGGTTTCTATCAATTATATGAATGATTTGTTATCCGACTTGGTCATGGATTGCGAGCAGATCAATAAAACAATAATGATAAAGTAGGAGTGCCTTTTCATGAATTAATTTGGGGCATCCACGAGAAGTATCTATATAAAATGGCATCATTACATGTGTATATTTTTTTGGCTAAAAAATTAAAATATTTCCTAGTTCTCAAATAGACCAAAATATGTGATTTGTTTATTTTATAATTAACTACATAAAATAACTATGTGGAAGCTAACAAATATATTCATCGATTAAAACATTAAAATTAAGAAACATGCAGACTAAGGTTTTGAATTCATCATGAAGCCCGCTCGTTCATTTTGATAAATTTTCACCGATGGTGAGGTGGGTGAGCGTATTACATGGGGGAGATACTCGTGTCTGTCGGCGAAACCATGGGGATTTCCTCCTCATCACCGGAAAAGGGTGTGTGAGAGGGGATATGGGTGTGAGGTAAGCTGGTGGATTATTTTTTCATTTTTTTAAAAATCAAATGAAGGGTAATTGTAACTTTACTCACATTTTGACATTTGAACGGTCAAATTGACAATTTTCCATTACAAAAGGACCTCAGAAGCAGATGTTTTGACACTCGAAGTGCTAAAAATCAAAGATTTGGTACTCATAGTCACAATCTTCAAAGGGTTGACACTCGTGCTCACAGCCTTCTAAGGTTTTAAGTGGGAATTTACATTTGCAATGTACACAACTTGAACTAATTTATGTTATAGAATTGGACTTTGGATTTTACGGTTGACAGTTTTCATTTTTTTCTACTTATTTTGATTTTGAATAGCATAAAAGAAGTGACTCCACGGAGAACGATCCCAATAAAAGATCTATCATCGACCAGTTAGTTTCATTATTAAAAGATCCAATAAAATCAAATAGATAACCAACCCATCAAGCTACGTGAATGCTGGATAGTACCAAATAAAAAGAAGTTAAAATACTTTGTCCATTATATTGTTCAAATATGTCGATTACATCGTACCAGACGTACATTACACAAATTAATCTATCAAGTGGGATAAAAATATACAAAGCCCATTATTGATCCATCTACAGGCAAAATTCTGATTATGTTTTGTTTCTTCTCTTTGGCTTGATTTGATTTCTTCAGCAAATCTTAAAGTCGTCTCAATTTGGTAACCTCCTCCAACACTAGCTTCTCTCTCCAAAATCAAATTACAGCAATGATCTCAAAAAAATGTTATTTTTTTCATCCAAATTCCTACTTTGAGGTGTTCGATTGATATTTTTTCATAAAAAATATTTTCCAAAAGTTGGTTGGGTAATCATATTTTCTTTATGGTGGGTGGGTTTTTATTTTCTAACCAAATTATACTTCCAAAAAAACTCAGCTTTATGAAAAACTACAAAATTTTGTAGGTCGAAAATGAAGACAATCAAACACATCTTACATTTGGAATTGCCTAGAACTTATTTTCTTTTTATGCAAGTTTCATATTTGGAATCAAACATGTCTTAAATTTAATGCAACTTGAATTTTATTAAGAATAAAAGTTCAATTGCATGTTTTTTTATAGGGTCTCAAAAACACTCTCTTTCATATATATCTCTACAATTAATTTTTTATAGGGTCATTATTGACATTTTCTCATCATTTGCATGTTTTTTCGAAAAAAAAAATTCTAGATTCTTTATTAACAATTTATATTTGTTTTTTTTTATTAAACTTAATCACATAAAAGAGAACAAAGATCGAGAAAATTATGCATAAACTTCTGAAGAGTTATGAGGTTGTAAAATGACATAAAGTTAATAATCCAACTAAAAATGAATAAAAAATTAATTTTAAGCTGTAAAACAATTACTATCAAAAATTATTTTCCATGATTTTTCTAATTTTTATGTAATGAATATGTTGACCTCGAAATTTATACTTCTAAAGTGGCCAACAGATTCCAAAATCTCCCGCGTTTATGTATGCTTGATTCCTTGCACACTTAGACAAATTGTTAGTCACACGTGACTTCCTTCAGTGGTGGAGTTGGCTGCGTGCACTTCCACGGTTAGTCAGTTAAAGTAATATATATGAGTGTGGGAGGTGCTATAGACGCGAGCCCCCAACATAAAAAGGGAGTCAGCTTTGGGGGAATTTTTAATGATGACAATAAGGATAACGAAGTTATAGTTTGAGAGTTTAAACTTGCATTGTCTTTAGAATGACACATTGTGTAAGCTTTTATAGTAGAATAAGATGAGTATTAACCATGTGATGGAAATATATGTGGCCTCATCCACACAGTTGAGGCATCTTGTGAATGACATCAATCAATCATAAACATTTAATACTAATACCATTTTACTGCCCATAATTCTGATGAAAGGCTTAGACTTGACATAGCTATGTCAACAAGTCGAGTCGAACCGAAAAAAAAAGCTCGAGCTCGGCTAGAGCTTTTTTGGCCGAGTTTTTTTGGGGCCCGAGCCGAGCCCGACCAAAAAAAATAAGGTTCGGCCCGAGCCTTAGCGGGTCGAGCAACTTGATTTTTTATTTTTTTTCTTCTTTAGCTTGTAGGCAGCTTTTAAATTTTTTAATTAATTTTAATTTTTTTTATTAATTACGGGCCGACCCGTGTGGACACGAGCCGGCCCAGCTCGAGCCGACCCCCAAAATGGGGCTTGGCCCGAGCCCGAGCCGGCGAGCTTTTTTGTCATCCCTAACTTAACCTAATTGGTTGGTTAGGGTTGCAGTTAAGGATGTCAATGTGGCGGGTATGAGACCGGTCCCATCGGATATTTTTGTTACCTTACCACATCCACATACTCGTTTAAAGCGGGACGGGACGAGTTCGAGACGGAATAGAGGCTGGCCTGACCCATTTATTTTTTATGTCTTTATTTAGTAAATATTATTACTTTTTTTTTTACTAATATGTTAGAAAGAACTTATGTTCTCTTTAAAAATATCATAAATCTATTATATTTGTTTGATAAAAAAATTTAAATTTAAAATTAATTTTAAATGGGACGGGTAGCGGGGTGTGGACTATAATTCCCATACATGATTCGGGACAATGTCCCTCGCCCTGTTTACCCGATTAGGCAGGTAATCCCCACCTTGTTCGGGGCGGGGCTCCACGAGTTTCAGGTTGAATGAATTTTTTTGTCATCCTTAGTTGCAGCAGTAAATTGTCACATCAATCGCTTATTAAAGATCGCATAAGAGAGAGATCTCTTGTCGGCCTCCCTTACAACCTCTCTCGCCATGAGAGTTATATTCTAGGTAAGGGGTCGACTTTAGCCAGATGGGNNAAGGGGTCGACTTTAGCCAGATGGGCTCAGCCCATACCGGTTTTGCCTCTTCATGGGGGTTTGGCAAACTGCCTCCTGATCAAATGACGTGGAGTGCGGGCCCATGATCTTCTAGAGCCTCATCAGTCGAGACGTAACAGAACACAATTTTTTAGTTAAAATACGACAAGCATTTCCATTCACAATATTGAAAGAAAAATCAAATAAAGGTTTTTTTATATATGTATTTCAATTATTTATTTAAGTTAGAACTCAAGCAAATGAATATAAAATTTGTAAAAAAAAAATATTAATATCATGGCTTCTAGTGATTAAATTTGAAGAATAATTAAATAAATAGTATGAGAGTTATTGTCTAATTTTTCTGTTATCAAAATGGTATCAACAGTTTCCTAATTTTTTCTAATATAACTGATAACTAGAAAATATAAGAATTATGTGAAACAAAATAATATGGATAAAAACTTGTGCTAATCAAGTGGAAATTACACCTATCCCTA